GCCCCCCCACCACCCCCCCCCCCCAAAGCAGACTCGGCTTGAACGACAGCCATACAGACGGCAATTGTCACCCTGCTTGCTCCCGTCTTTTGGCCACGCAAAACTTTACGATGGCCAGCTATGGATCTTCACCGGCGCCGTCGCCCGGATCGCCTGCCTATCGCAAGGGCGTAGCATTCGGTCAGCCCGGTTGGCGTGCCTCTCGCGCCTCTCGCGGTCGCGCAAGCGGGATCGATTCGCCTCTCTACCGCAACAGTCCTGCTTTCGGTTCGGCTTCCCCTTCCCTCAGGGGCGGAACGCCATCGTCCCTTCGCGGCACCCCCCAGCCAACCGGTCCATATGGACTCACCCCAAGCTTGTCAGTGGCTTCGATCAATCAGCAGCCGCTCCGGCCGGAGGACTCTGCTGCTGGACCTGCAGATCTCGACCGACTGGGTGGCACTGCTCAGCCCTCGAGTCCTGCGCCGTTAGGCCAACCCAGCAAGAAACGCTTTATTCGCAAGCGGCCGCTTCTCGAGCGCATTCAGCACTGGCCGATCGAAACGTACGATCGTCTCACGTCGTATGTGCTCGATATCGAGGAGCAGCTCTTTGCCGATCAGGCAGGCAATGTGCTGGGTGCCATCCTGCATGCCCTGTCCCTCCTCGCGCTGTTCTTGTCTCCAGAGTCGAGTCTGGGATCGTGGATCATGAACAAGCCCGCCCACCGCAAGGCGCAGAATCCTGCTATCGCCTACGAATACCTCGTCGGCCATGCGGCCGATGAGTACGCCATGGCAGATGCTCTCAAGCGACACGCTCGAAAGAGTGCCGTGTACAGTGCATCCGACCGCTTCTTTCGCATTGCTTCTACCGCCCTCTTCCTCGCCATCTTTGTCACTAGCTGCATCAACGCCTACGTCTTCTTCACAAAGCGCCGCACGTACAAGTTCTACTCGCAACCAAAGCCACACGAGCCTGCAAGCTCGAGCATCCACACCAAGCAAGGCATCCGTCAGCTACTCATGTGGGACCCCACGCCGTACGCAGCCAATCTGTTCGCAACCTTCTCGCCAGCACACGGCGTCATCTATCCAGCAGCCGCTTTGATCGAAATGGGCGCAGCAGCCTGGATCATCTTTGTGTTTTTGCTCGTCGCTGTCTCGGCTCCCGTCCATCTCATCCTGCACCAGTACCAGCAGCTTCTCAAGGACAAGGGCGTCGTCCAGGCCGCCGTACTCACCGAATACAACGAAAAGTACGTCTACCCACGTGCCACCCCCGTCGTCCGCGACCAAACCACCCAGACCGATCTTTAGCGACAGCACCGCAGATAACTCTGCTCAATCACTTCGATACCCAACGCAACAATTGCAATGCCACTCTGTCTTGCCTCTCGATTCGCATGCTTTCTTTCGGCCTACATCTGTGCTGCAACGACTGCCTTGCACTTTCGCTCGCACTGTTGACGGACGCGTCTCTTGTGGAAAAGCATGTGCGCTTTCTTGGTTCGAAGCTTGGGTCAGGCTAGCGCTTACAAGGCTTGATCAGGCCGACCCGCTGGAGGAGCGAGACGCGCCTCTGCATGGTCGGGATGGGCTGCGAGGGGACACCGCCCTGGTCGTGGCGGAAGCTGAGCAACAAGAGATCGGTGTGCGAACAAGTCAGTAACGAACAAATGCGAGCGACTGGGAGGCTCTGATAGACTACTCACCAGCAGCGGGAGGCGTACGGACAGTGTCCGTAACTGTCATTGAGGTGACACCAGAGAATCGCAGGTGGTGCTTTGTTCAGCACGAGTCTACCGGTGCAGAGTAGGATCAAGCGACTTACAGCATGAACACCTTGCACGGCCGAGTCTTCCAGCGTGGATCGCGCGGCAGGCGACGCAGCTCTTCCTCGCCATGCGCATACTGGCATCGACTGCAACCCATTACCAACCGAGTCAATCAGCATTCTCACCGCGCCCAAAACCGACCGCCGAGACATACTCACTTTCCGTACAGGCATTTGCCGCGTTCCTCCCAGTTGCGGCAGATCTCGGTCTTGAACAGCTCCATCTTCTTGTTGTTGGGCGAGGGGCTCGGCGCCGCAGCCTGACGCCCGCTCCAGGCGTCTTTGGCCTGTCGAGGCTCGACCGGCCTCGGGGCGGTGAAGGTGTCGTGCATCAGGAAAAAGTTGTACTGCTGACCGGTGCGATGGTTTCCGTGGCCCTGCAGCTGGCTCATCAGCCTCGATTCCTGCGATGCTCCAGCCAGGATTCCCGGGCCGGTGCTTGGGGCGCTCATGCTCCTGGGCAGATCCGTGGCGGTGAAAGCCGAAGCTACTTGCGGTCCCTGCCAGCTGAAAGTATGAGCATGGGGAGAAAGCTTGCCTAGCTGTACTGGCGCTGGGAAGGGCTCGGGAGGCGAGCGGGGCCAGTGGCGCGTCTCATCGCCGAGAGGAGAAGAGGCGTCCGAGTCGGAGCCGTGGTAGCTACCAAACGAGGTGCGGGTCCAGTACGGCACCTTGCTGACCGGCTCGTCGAAGATGGAGACGTCTAGGGAACCGCTGGCCAAATCATTGCTCTGGGCACTAGCATTGCCGATAATCCGAGGCTGCTCTTTATGGGTTTCGAGCTCTGCCCAAATGGACGGCTTGGAGGTCTTGTTGATCCACGACGCCTGCTCCTTGCTCGACTCGACGGGAAGATCCCAGCTCCAGTCGATCAGCTGAGACGAGCGCTGAGCAGGAGGGGAAGGAACGTCGTCAAGGCTCAGCTTGCCAAAGAGCTGGTAGTCAAAGTCGAGTGAGCGACTGTCGCGGGAGGAGGACGAGATCTGGGTTCCCAGGTTTCCACCGGCGACAAAGGGGTCCGGACGATGAAGGGAAGGATAGAAAGTCGGAGGACTGTTCAGCGGGAAAGAAGGCGGGGCTGGTCCGAAGCGTCCTGGGTTCTTGCGACTCTGATCCTGGTAGTGTCTGTAATCGGCTGTTCCGGCAGACATCATGATGTCGGGGGAGGGTTGGTCGGGATGGAATGGATCAGGATCCTCAGACGGAATAGAGCTGATCCATTGGGGCCTGGAAAGGTGGATACGGTAAGTAGGATACTCTCGCGCACAGACACTGCAGGCGGGTATGCGGGCGGTAGCGATGACACTGTAGCGGGCGGGGAGGACAAAGCTTTAGACTCACAAGGGGTGTGCGGAGCCAAAATAAGGATAGGGAAAGGACAAAGCGTGCAACCAGGGTCAGAGGGCGGATGAGGGGCAGTCGGGATGGGCGAACTCGCGATGTCGTCTGGACAGACGGACAGCAGAGAGGAGATCATGGAGGAAGGGCGGTCGACTGCGGACCTTTATAACGTCATCCGGGTTCCTCCGTATGCCGGAGAGGCCATGTTGCTGTCTTGCTGTAGAGGTGCAATGCCTGTGGTGCTGTGCAGAAACGTAGGAAAGTGGGCACGTTGGCTGCCGCAATCTGATCCTTGGACGAACTTTGATTGCGTGACAATTGCACACCGTGTGAACGGTTTGGACGGTGCGCCAAGGAGCGGCAAAAGCAAGCAGAGACGACGGCTGAGGCAAGATGCCCGCAGCGACGGGATGGACGATGACGACGGATGGTTCCGATCATGGGCGGAGGCACGAAGCTTGATTATAAGTTAGTTGGCTCTGAGATTGGCTCGCTTGCAATCGCGAGGCCGTGCTTGCTGCGCCGTCGCCTTGCATCACCAGGTCGAGCCAAGCTAGAGCGCGTCGGCCGCGCTTCTTGTCTGGCGTGAGAAAGCACGGCTCCACCCTTCCCCACAAGCAAGACCCCAAGTCACTGTAGATGATGTGGAGTTGACCTGCACTCTGCGACCAAGGCAAGAGACCATCTGCACCTGCTCCAACTGTGACGGCTGCAAAAGGCCTCGTATGGATTTAAAGTTTGAAGCTGCAAGAGCAGTGACAATGCCGTTAAGCGCAACAGCAACCTCGACTTCTGCACGCCCGTCGCCCATGCGAGCAGTGAATGAGGCAGAGGAACCGCACCTCAGCCCTCCGCCAACGATGTCTTCGCCATTGACGGCAAATCGCCGTGCACCCGACGGGCTCAAAGACAGAAGGGTGGCGCAGCCTTGCAAGTTCTTTCCGTCACGTGCAGCCCTGCTTGCGCTTCAGTCAAAAGCACATTGATGGGACTTCGGTGACTTCGAGAATCTTCGCGGCGCTCCTTGTCGTCGCAAAGGTTGTCGGGGCGATGCGTCCTTCAAGATGCAGTAGTCAACTAATAGTGGACTCACGCCTTTCCGAAATCTCATGCTCGACAATTGCCGGGTTCTTGGGTGCCATCGACGCCGACGTCAAAATCGACGCGACGCACCACCGCCCCTGCACCACACTTTACACCACAGCTTACATGCCGGAGGAGGCGGAGCGAGCCGTCGACACAGATCTCTTCGAGGACTAGCGAGTCTCTTGATCATGTTCGGCGGTCACATGGCAGTCTGGATGCGTGTGCGCAGCAAGATGAAAGCGTGCCCGCCGGTGGGTCCACTTGTCCGGTCTCGAGCTCTGATTTTCTGCGAGGTGCGGAACGCGTCCCTGAACGGGCGCTCGGCTCTTCCGCCCGTCGAGCGTGCCGTGCCCACGCGCCTGGCGCATGACGAGCTCTGGACGCGCGCCGCTTCTGCCTCCCTTGGATTTTGGGTGTCCAATTTCTGAAAACCGGATGAGGGCAAGGCGAGGAGAAAGACAGGCTCGCTGGCTGCGGGACTGGCGATTCTTCCTGCTCGAGCAAAGCGTCGGCAGGACGCCTGCAGCTTCCAACACGGTCGATCTGCACCTGTCTCTCTCCCTCTCTCGCTCTCTCGCTCTCAGTTCTCTCGCAAAGGGATTTGTCTTGTGCATCCTTGCCCATCGCCTCGATCTCCCCCCGTCCCTCTGCTCTATCCATCCGTCCCCGCATCGTGGTTCGCTCCCCGCTTGTGTGTGCAGTGATCCCGGTGTCGAACGCACCCAGCTGGCCTCCGCTGCTCGCATCCGAATTTCGCCTGCGAACCCGACACGCATTTTACGCCTACGCGCTCCACCTCGGCGCGCTTTGTTGTTCTGGCCATCACTCCTCTCGGTCTTTCCGAGCATCTTCGTTTCGGCCGCCACTCTTTTCCAGCTGTGGCCGCAGCAGGCACCTTTGGCGTCGCCTGTCGTCGCGAATCGGATCTGCCGCCACCGCTGCTGTGATCGTCGCGCCGCCACTCAGCTTGGCGACGTGACGAGGTCTCGCGACCGAACCGCTTTGCAATCCGCAGGCGCCCGCGCTCCAACATGACGTCCCCTTTGCGCCGGTCCACGCGCGGCACTAGGAATGCCGACGCAACAGCAACCTCACCCGAACCATCCGCCATGTCGCCTTCAGCATCACCTACAAAGCTCGATCGCAAGCGTAAGCGCGTAGATGAGTCCGACGAGCAGCCACCCGAGCTGCATACACCCGATCAGCATGCTTCGGCTGCAGCATCCAACAGCGCTGTCAACGGCCACTCGGACGCCTCAGCCCCAGCCGACAAGGCTAATGGCGTCGCTGACGACACTGCGACACAAGACGCCAGTCAAAAGAAGCAGCTTCCACCGACCTTGCAGGCGCTTCTCGGCATCTCCAGCTCGCGCCCAACACAAGCGCTGGAGCGCGCCAAGACCGCCGACGAATCATCGTCCAGCAAGGTGGATGAGCTGCTGCTGCTCGAGGAGGACGCTACAAAGCTGCTCGCCATCGCCGACACCTTGAACGTGGCCGATCTTCCTGCGACCGCACCGCAACCAGATGTCAAGGGCAAATCGCGCAGCGCCAAAGCATCATCGACGGCGTCGCATGCAATCCGCGCCATCTTGCAACCCGGCACTCCCCTGCGCGATGTGCGAGCACGTCTGCTCAGCGCCAGGGAGCCGCTTCTGTCCAAGCCACAGGTGGCCCAGCATCTGCGCACATCGCAGACCGCGACTCCGCCTGAATCCCTCTCAACGGACCTAGCCCACCTTTCGAGCCTCACCCTCATCCTTGGCCTCGTCGATCAGCTTGCTTGCCGTATGCGCGACTCGCACCCGCAGACCGACGCCATCAAAGCCGAGCTGCTTTGCGCCGATGTGGAAACGCGAGCACGTCTCTTGGAGAGCAGGATGGCGCAGACGGCCAAGGAAGGCAAGGCTACCGCATCCCAGAGCGCCCGGGTCCACGTCAGACCATCAGAAGACCGCTCCTCGGACGTTGAAGCCACCAACAGATACGCTCTGCACATGCGACTGCCTCGAGGCGACTACTTCACCAAAGCAATCCCGCTCGATCGCGACCAGCTCAAGAAACTCGACCCGGCCCAGGCCGACATTGTGCAGATCAGCGCGCAAAGCGAAGAGCAGATGCGCACGCTCAAACGCCAGGGCCACGTGCCCACTCCCACCCTCGGACAGAGGTTAGGAAGAAGCGGCCATCGACACCGAAGCGACTCCAAACGATCTATGCAGCCCAAGCTTCAGCCGGTGACATTCCTCAACTACGGCAACTACGCTTCCTTTGCGCCCTCGTACGACTCGTCGGCATCCTCCATCAGCTATGCCACCAGCGCGGCGCTTTGGCGCACCTCCGCCAAAGCACATCGCTCGCTATCGCTGACGTGGGGCGCAAGGCCCTTCCAGGAGGAGGATCTGCTCGCAGCCGACGACGATGACGACGACGAAGAGGACGCGGACACCTCGTCAGCAGCCATTGCCGCTCCGGCTCCGCTCTCCGATGCCGCGCATGTGGACGCTGAAGGCGATGTGGCCATGGCAGACTCGCCGGAAGACGACGTTGCTGCTGCACTGCGCGAGCTTCTCGACGGCGTCGACCAAGGCGGTGTCAACGAGAGCTTGCACAAGCTCAGCGAGGACGAGCTGATCACCTCGCATCTGCGATTCAACATGATGCTGCTCCACCGCCTGCAGGAATTCCAGTGGGCGCGTCTCCGCAGGTCCTACGGCCCAGGTGCCTCTTCACGCAAGGCCATCCTGGCGACCGAGGAGGAATCGCCGAGCGCCGACGAGGAGGCCACCGCCGCACTCTTGTTGGAATCGCTAAGCGCCATGGTGGCGCTGCAACCGCGTGCTGTTAATCTCGCCTCGGAAGCGGTCGAGAGCTTGGTGCCACATGCGAGCAAGCTGCGTGCCTTCTCTGCCAGCAGTGGCGCCATCGACCCGGATCTGCTCGGCGACGTTCGCGATGGGTTCTGGGGCGCTCTGGATGCCAACGTGGTCAAATCCACGCGCACCAGCGTCGTCGCTTCCGAGACTCCCTTGCTGCTGCGCGACGACGTTACTGTCAGACTGGCCGATGGCAGCGGATCCAAGGCCAAGAAGACGTCGCGCAGGATGGGGCCTGGCGGCACGCAGGTGGAGGAACGTGGACGTGGGACTCTGGAGCGATTCGCGTCGAGCCGCACCTATGACCAGAGCAACGACCGACACGATGCTGAGCCAGCGCGGACGACGGGTCCTCCCCATTCCACGCTGGCCCGAAGCCCCTCGAAAGGCGACGAAACTCCCTCCGCATCGCGGACGCCCTCTCAGGGACCCTCTCACGCGTCGCCGATGCCTGCCCACCCACACATGCACGCAGCGTACGGCCCGGGCCAAGCACAGGGCATGACGCCACAGTCACAGCGCCTCATGCCGGGACCAAATGCGTCGTATGCTTTCGCAAGCCCCTCGGGCGGTCCCAACCATCTCGGTCGACCCATGCAGTATCAGCAACCCGCCTATGCTCAGTCGCCCTCGAGATAATATTCAAGATCGCATTGGGCATCGAGCGTACCCACATCCTCTCCCATGCCTCTAATCAGATTACCGTGTCACCTTCTTCTGACCCCTCGTGCGGCCGGCGAGTGTCAGAGTGTCAGAGTGCCGAACAGAGCCAGCCGCGGAAGAAGGGTTGGTGGCGAAGTTTCAAATTTGTTAGATTTTCTTATAGGCTGTCCGCACGTGATCCCCAGGTCGCGATGGGTGTTGGTCTCTGCTTTTAGGCGCTTGAGGTCAGTGTTGTAGAAATTTACTCGACCGGCAGCTGCGAGGCACCGAGGCACCGAGGCACGCTTGCTGAGTTGCTGACGCAGCGTCTTAGCAGCACAGAGCACAGCTGCTCTATATCCACCTCCATCCATCTTCCCGGCGGCATCATACTAGCGGCGACATCCTACTCACGACTGCATCAAGACTCGAAAGGACAACCTACGAGAGGCAGTACACTGCAGCGGTTTCCAAGCAAGTCTTCAAGACAGCCAAGACCTCGACTGTAGCAGTGCAAAGGCAATTGTAAAGGACAAGGAGGTCGCAGTTTCCAGGTCAACGAACATGACTTCATCCACAGCAGGCCACAGGCTCGGGGCGTCGAACGGTATCGCCATGGACTCTCCCCTCAAGGATGTAACGTCGAACATGCGCGATATGAAGCTCGGCGCTTCGCCGACCAAGGGTGGATTCAAGGGCGCACCTGGACGTCTGGGCCTGTCTCGAAAGGACCGACTGGACACGGTGCCCTCTGGCTCGGCTGATCTCAAGGTCGGAATCACACGGGACTGGCAAGGTCCAGAAAAGTCTCTCAAGCCCAAGGTCGCTGCGAGCATTTCGGTAAGTGGTCCTCCGAATGACGGTCGGCAGGCGATCAACGGTCCACTGTGCATCAGGCTAACATTGTGCGATCTTGATCTGCGCTTGCCTTGCGGCAAAATGGACAGCGCGGCGACCGCTACATCCCGAATCGGGAGCTTAAACGATCCACCACTCCGCACGCGCACACGGACGGAGATGGCGATACCATCCGCTCTCAGATGTCCAGCGATGCCACTGACCCTAACATCGCCGCCAACATAGCCGCGGCCAACGCCAATCCGACCGATCTGGAGGGCCATCCGTCGTTCGAAGATTCGGTGTCGGGCGAGATGAGCCAAAGGATCCTGTCGTTCTCGGCAGCACCGCCGAGCTCTTTGGCGAACCCGGACGTGCGAAGCCGATACGCCATGACCAAACCCAAGTCTGCGTTACCGAGCAGTCTGCAGAGCGCAGGTCGTAGGAGAATCCCGACGACACCAGAGAGGACGCTGGATGCGCCGAGCATGGTGGGCGACTTCTACTATAATTTGCTCGACTGGTCGTCCACCAACATGGTGGCGGTGGCGCTGCAGACGGGGCTGTGGATCTGGAACGGCAACACGGGCGATGCGTGCGCATTGCTCGACACATCGACACAGCCGGAGAAGGTGGGCGGGGGAGGCCTGATCACTGGAGTGCGATGGGATGCCGATGGCAACATCCTCGCTGTGGGTCTGGAGGGCGGCTTTGTGCAGATCTGGGATGTGGAGTCGAGCACGCGCATGCGCACGCTCAAGCCCACGGGCGATGGGGGTGCCGACCACGCCTCGGTCAACGTGGCTGCCTGGGCACCGGACGGAACGCTCAACGCAGGATTCCAGAGCGGCATCATCCGCGAATACGACGTGCGAGAGCGAGATGCGGTGACGCGAACGCTGGAAAAGGCGCATCACGGTCCCGTCTGCGGCATGGAGTGGCGATCCGACAGCGCGCTCATGGCTTCGGGAGGCAACGACAATGTCGTCAAGGTGTGGGACCGCCGCACCTCGGTCGCCAAGATGCGCAAGGAGAACCACCAGGCCGCAGTCAAGGCGCTTGCCTGGTGTCCACACAACCTGAGCCTGCTGGCTACGGGCGGTGGCACGAGCGACCGCAACATCCACTTTTGGAACACGACGCAGAACTCGCGGACCATGACCATCTCGACGGGCGCGCAGATCACCTCGCTGCACTGGGCGCCGCACTACCGCGAGATCGTCTCGACGCACGGCCTCGGCACCACCGAGTCGAGCAAGGGCCTCATGAGCATCTGGTCGCACCCTTCGGGCACCAAGGTCGCCGAGATCGAGGCGCACGAGAAGCGCGTGCTGCACTCGAGCCTCAGCCCAGACGGCGAGGTGCTCGCCACCGTGAGTGACGACGAAGAACTCAAGCTCTGGAGGATCTTTGAAAAGCCCGTCGAGTCGTCCAAGGGCGCCAAGGCCGCGGGCGGCATGGCCTCGCATGGCAGCAGCGGAGCTTCCAGCGTCCGCACTCTCCGCTGATAAAGCTCAATCCCCAGCTTCCTCCCCTTTCGCTCTCATTTGTTTCTGTTGCCGCTACTATACCACTTGCATGCTTCCATTCATGGCCGCTCACTGGCACTCTCGCACAATCTTAGCCATCATTTCTTTCTATCACGACGAGCGTCTTCTCCTGGATTGAAGGGCTGGACTTGGTGTGAGGAGCCGCGCAGTCAGCAAGCGCGCGCGCGCGCGCGTGTATAGGCCGCAGAGAGAGCGAGCGAGGCGCGTCTCGGTCGCGCTGGAACGTGTCGCGTTAATTGCACTTTCCATTTACGCGTCGGGCGGCTGTTGTTGCGCACCGAGCGAGTCGCGTTCCTCCGCTTTGCCGCTTTGCGAAAAATGGGCATTTGATCGACCCCCGACGGGCACTGCAGCTGTGTCGTGAGGCGTGCGAAAGGCCGCCCTCCCTTTGCGCGCTGCGGAGCGGCCGGCCGCAGGAGGGACACGGACAAAGTGCCGCAAAGCAACACTCTCTGGTGTACAAGTTCAACACCCTCTTTCCTCGAGGCGCCGCCGCACGAGCAGAACAGAAACGCAAGTCCCAATGCAATCCTTCCCTCCTCCCTTGCATCCTCTTCGACATCGTCCCTCCTCTACAGACGGCCTCAACTTCACTAACTAGACTCTCTGGACTCCAACGCCCATCTACTCTCGTTCACACCCTCGGAGACGCTTCAAGGTACACGACGCACATCGTCGACCGCAACGCACAGCGGAACCGCAAGCACAGAATGTCGACGCCAGGTGGTCCCCCCAGCGACGCTGAGATGCGCGACGCCGAACAGCGCACTCCCCTCGCACCGGCTTCAAATCGAAACCAATTGGCAGGAGCCTCGTCCCCATTGGCTTTCCCTTCCAGCAGTCCCCTCAAAAGCCAGGCTTCCGGCATGAGAGCACCTCAGAGCTCGATCGGAGGTAAGTCGATCGTCTTGATGGTACGAAGAATGCTGTATCGCTCCAGCGCTGACCCTTTATGATGACGTCCGTTCTCACGTCTCGCTCAGCTTCGTCTCCCCTTCACTTCCCCACATCGTCTCCGTCGGCGAGGACGTCGAGAGGTCAGAGGACTCCTGTGGCCTCGGCAAGACGCAGTGGCAATGCCGAGAACCGTCTGCCCTCTAGCAGCAGCGGCATGAGCCGTCTCGATGAGCCCCTCTTCTTCCCTAGCTCCGGCGGCACCACACCTCGCCACCAGCGTCGTGGCGAGATCCATTCGTCCGTCGCCCTCTCCTCCCCTTCGATGCTTCGAAGGAACCGCCTCAACCAGGCGTCCATGCAAGCCACTCAGGGCGGCGACACGATGCCTTCGCGCGCATCCTCTGTCTTTGGCGGCAGCCAGCACACCGCCGACCAGAACAGCGACGCCATCAGCCTCTCTCAGCACGGCGTCACCAGCGACGCCGCGGGCCCAGCACAAGACGGCGTCTCCAAGGTCATCTGGGGCACCAACGTCTCGATCGGCGAGACCATGGAGATGTTCCGTTCTTTCCTGCGCGGCTTCCGGCTCAAGTACAGGTGGGCGCACGCCAAGAAGAACGGCATGCCGCTCCCGCCCGCCGCCACGGCCAACCCCGCCGAGGGCGAGCGCCTCGTCTACGAAGGCTACCTCCGCCGCATGCGCATCACCGACCAGACCAACCTCAACCTACGCATCTCGGACCTCGAGGCGTACCCTCCATCCAAGAGGCTCAAGATGCAGCTCATCCGATACCCGCAGGAGATGGTGCCCATCATGGATCAGGTGCTCAAGGACGAGATGCTCGAGATGGCCTACGAGGACCAGAAGGAGGGTCGCGACGGCATGGGCGGCGACATCGGCCTCGCCGAGATCGAGCTCATGGAGACCAAGCTCTACAAGGTGCGCCCGTACGGCGCCGATGCCATCAACATGCGCGACCTCAACCCGGCCGACATCGACAAGCTCGTCACCGTGCGCGGCCTCGTCATCCGCGCCACGCCGATCATCCCCGAGATGAAGCAGGCCTTCTTCCGCTGCCTCGTGTGCAACCACACGGTGCCCGTCGAGATCGACCGCGGCCGCATCGCCGAGCCCGACCGCTGCCCGCGACAGGTGTGCAATCTGCAGGGATCCATGTCGCTCATCCACAACCGCTGCGAGTTTTCGGACCGCCAGGTGGTGCGCATCCAAGAGACGCCCGACGTCGTGCCCGACGGCCAGACGCCGCACACGGTGAGCATGTGCGCGTACGACGAGCTGGTCGACGTCAGCAAGCCCGGTGACCGCGTCGAGATCACCGGCATCTTCCGCAGCACGCCCGTGCGCGTCAACCCGCGCCAGCGCAGCCTCAAGAGTCTCTACAAGACCTTTGTCGACATTCTGCACATCAAGCGCACCAACGGCAAGCGCCTCGGCGTTGACCTCTCCACGCGCGACGCCTCCGAGCAGGCGGCTGGCCCCGGCGCACAGGCCGTCGGCGTCGGAGGCGACGAGGACGACGAGGAGGTCGACGTGCAGACTACGCTCGGTGTTGCAGATGAGATCGACCTCTCGCGCAGCCAGGACCTCGAGGACAAGCTGCGCTCCATCGCCGACCGTCCCGACGTGTACGAGCTGCTCTCGCGCAGCTTGGCACCCAGCATCTACGAGATGGACGACGTCAAGAAGGGCAT